TGACCCTCCTGCCCCACCACATGGATCAGGAGGTTCATTTCAGAAAAAACAGTGCTTGACCCTCCTGCCCCACCACATGGATTACGGGGGTCATTTGAACCCACAAGACCATGTGCACTTATTTCTACATCGCGCGCGATACGTGTGTGCGTGATTACATGAAATCTTACCGCGCCCTACGCCAAGTAGACGAAAAGCGTGGTCGAAGAGCGAGAGTCGGTACAATAAATAAAACGAGAGTTGGTACATTTAACTGGCATTTTTTAACCGTGGTACAATCAGAATTGCATACAGCCGACACAGGATGAGGGGGGGGGGGGGGGGGGGCAATGACTACTGATGGAGACTTTTGAGCACCAATGGGGACGAAAATCATAGGGACTGAAGGTTAAATTGCTGGCGAAATTCTGCACTTGTCCCCAAAGTACCCAAAGTCATTGGCTCCCCCCCCTCCCCCGGGTGAGGTGACGGAGAAAAATAAACTGAGCTCAAGGCTACATTTCCAGATATCCCGCCAGGGCACCGTCGCTCATGCTGCAAAGTGTGTTGAGAGATGCCCACGTCATCACACGTAAACTGTGTCACGAATACCTGAAATGCAGAACAAACATAACTCTGATCTATATTTTTCATAAAACTTTCAGGATTTGCCAATGAGGGAAAAGACAGCACTGTCCGAGAAGCTAGAAATGCATGAATCATAGGTGACATGGATAGGGGTAAGAAGTTTTTTAAAAACATGAAAATTGTGAAAGGAAAAGAAGTAGAAATGAGAAAGGGTAGATTTAAAATGTTTGAGAATCGATTTTGTGCTGAAGAACTCCGTCCGCAGGACGGGCTTCCGGCTACTTATGATAATTCGAATAAATTTGAGATTCAAACAAGCTACGAATACGAATGCTTATAGCAGTGGCAAGCTCGTGGCAAGCTCTTGTTTGCTGCGCATTGGCTGCAATGTATAACCGCAGTATGAACTGTCAAAATATTTGAATTTGCTTACCTAGTGGCTTTGTTTGATAAAGCATACATACTTTATATACCGATAAATCAATAACTCCTTTTGATTCTTCGGTTTGAGAATTGTGCGGTCACACATCTCTGCAATGTCTGAAAAGGTGGCAGGGAAGTATTGAAACTTACTTAACACCATATTTACAGTTAAACCTTGAACTACTATAACTAGGGCAGTAGGAAACGCCAAAAAGTAGATCATCTGACTAAAACAACTTAACTTCATCCAAGAGTCTAGTTAGCAGCATTGTAGCGATAAGATACCACCATAGTTTGAGCTGTCGACACTGAAATAAAACAAACAATTTACTTTTCACTACTGCAGGGGAATGCATGTAACATATAAAGAATAAAGATATAATATATTGTATGTTTTTCATCGTGGCCTCAGGGGAGAAGGGCAGCTCGAAAAACCGAAAAAAGTCTAAAAAACCGTGTTGGAGCTGGTGAGTTAAAGCTACCGATCTCGATCGTGAGAGTCAGATGATCAGATCGCATGTAACGTGAGTTTCGCCCGCCTGAATAAGGCAACATGAAATCATATTGCTGGTGACAGGTCTCGACCAAGATGTAAAATAAAGATACCCCAAATTTGTTATTTTTAAGCCGATTCACATCGACCCAAGTCTCTGCTTTGACCCTAAATGCTCAAACTTCGTTAATAGATTGGAAAATCGTGTTATGCTTGTTACTAATAACTGTTGTTTGTGAGAGGACATCTCGATTTCCCGGATCAGAGGATCACACCAATGAGGGGTTGATTGTGCATGTGTGAACTTGAATAAGTTTTCAAATTGCCCGATTTTTTTTCAGTAGGTCACATTACTCGTGACGTGCAAATGTATCTTTTGTCTTTTAATAGGTCAAGCTCAGAGCTTTAAAGCTTTAAAGACTTCTCCGTGACAAAGACGGCCGACATATATCTTTACTCCAGGAAAAGTCAGAACTCTTTCCACACCACATTCTTAAATGTACACGACAGCAGAACGACGATGTAGCCCCACGCCGCAGTAAACTTTAAATTTCTGACCCGGAACGAGCCCAGCAACTGTAGACAGCTGCGTGAGCTATGTACGGTTAGCAGATTTAAGAGCTTATGCAATAAGCAGTCACCGTTCACTCTCATTTTTGACTCTTCTTCTTTTGAACAACAAATGTCCATTGAATGATGCCAAGCTAAGCGATTATGATTAGAAAAGTACCGTGATTTACACTGATGGCTCATACAAGGACTTATTGGACTTCGTGAATTTGGAGGACCTGCAGCTGTAATCAGTACTTCACTACCAGATGTGCGAGGCCGAGGTTCCCGTTTGACAACATTACAAGTGGACCACCCAGGCCGGGATGATCACGCGCTAGTTGACATGAGATCTGATTCTCCCGGGAAAATTGGGCGAGATGACCGGTGTCCTGTCAGAGGTCACGGATACAAGGATACAAAAATATAAATATTTTATTGTACAATTACAATAGTCGTATAAACTTGACAAATTCGCCTACCATCACGTGACCCTCGTCAACGAGCAAGTGAAAAATGTGTTCACAGCATTTATATTATACGGTAACTACACCATAGATTGACAAGCTAAGCGTACAGAAAAACGTCCAACTCCGGACTATCATAAAACTCCGGTATAATAGCGTTTTTGACGGAGCAATTTAATGGCCTGGAGTAGGAAACTTTGTTGACCGGAATAAATTGATCCGAAAGGCGAAAGATACATATGAGAGGCCATCATAAGATGGTACCAAAATATCTCTGTGAAAAGTCCTTTTTACTTTTTTAAGCGTCAAAAGTCGGTGCACTTACTTTATCCATCGAAAAAAGGCATCCCCTGGTGGCTCGTAAAGTATCGATTTTAGCTGTCTAGTAGCCATCTTCTGTGCTCTCTGGCAGTCTAAGAAGAAACATTATATACGACTCTATACAAATAATCTTATTATAAAACAGGATCATACATAGTTAATAGAACTCCATTAAGAAAACATCTTAACTACGTAATCTGTGCCTAGTACAACAGTTTCCAACACTTCCTACAGCTAGCAATATCCCTTATTTCATTTAAATCACTCAAATTTCTAAGTTCTAAGTTTCTATATTTAAGGTCATCAACAAGCATATTTGATATAAGTTTGTATTAGGTCTACCAACACGCCCTTTAAATTTACCACTACTATTTAACACAAATTTCTCTTTGTGATGAAAAAGTTTAAAGAAGCTTTACAACTTAACTCAAACTAATGCTTCTGTCTGTCTGCTGAATTTGAGTTTATTTCTAAATGATTCGCAGCTTTCGGTAGCTCCATGTTCAGCCCACCATGCCTGAAAAAATTTGGTTCACAATAACTTTGGTTCCCATAAATATTATGGTTACCATAATATAAGTCACAAATTTTGTTAATTTCAAGTCAACAACAATATTAGTCGTATTTTTAAGACCATTTTTCCATATCATTTAATTTTTTTTAATTTATTCAGCTAGCTTTTTTGACTAAAATATTTTCGATCTGGGAAATTATTTAAAGACGAGTCAACATTACATACATCAATTACATAGCATCACATACATTTACCTATAACACGCAGTAGCGACTTGTATAAATTTAACGATACTTAAATTCGTTAAATCATATATCATGTATATGCTCGGGTCCGGGACTCTAGGGCGTAAGACTCTAGGGCGTAAGACTCTAGGGCGGCGCCCTACAAAACAGGACTCTAGGGCGTGAAAAATCTTGGGCGTGAAAAAAACAGGACTCTAGGGCGTGAAATATTGTTTTTTTCTAATTTTCTGCGTCTATGAAGTCAGCTTCGTGGTTGTGTGGAATTGCAGGTGTCTCCGTGAGGCTCAAACCCTTGGTCCAGATTCACCCCTTACAGGATCCGGCTTTCTTCACACATCTCCAAAACTGTGACCCATCTTTTCTTAATTTTCCATCTGGAGAGTACCGGAATCCTAGGTGCAGTGCGTTCTTACTCTTGGCCGTTCTTCCTCTGATTAAAGTAAACGAAAGATCGGACATAGTGTAGTAGGAAACGAATGATAATGAATTAATGATGGGATAGATCACTAGATCATGTTTTTATTGTTATTGTTTTGATTATAAACATCTTTCTTTACTGTACAGGGTGTGTTGGTGAGCTTTTATAATTTAACAATAAAATGTTGGTGACTGACAGCTTCCCACGCTTCCCACCTCTAAGACACTAGCTATCAGTATTGTTTACGTTTAAAGTGGGTCCTTTAAGCTTTACATATAGAGCACTTCTCTCCTTATCACAGTACTCATTCTTAAAGAATCTGTCAGCCACTTCCTTGGAGAAATTAGGGGGTTTGTTCTTCTTATCCCCGTCCAGCAGTTTCCTTCCAAATTGAAATGGGTTTTGTTTAAACTGTGACTGTTCCTTTTTGCTCTCCTTATTCTTCTTCTTCCTGAGCTCATTACGACGGCTTTTGTTGTGTAAGCGCACGAGTCTCAGGTACTCAGTCTTAGCTTGAGCCAACATATTCTGATCATTGCTTCTCCTAGCATCTTTCTTGTTTCTCTTAGCCTCTCTCTTGGCCAAGCGAATAACTTTTGTCTCCTTGTTCTCCTTTTCCTTCTGGGGAACACGAGGTTTCTTCGCTTCCTCTTCACCGAATCTGCTTTCCAGATAGCTGTATACCAGCTTTTCTACCTTCTCCAGTCGGGACTCCACGTCCTCTGCTGCTACATTGTTCACCAAAACAATCAGGTCTTCATCAATTCCCTTCCATACTCCCTTCTCTGCTGCTGTTGGTAGTTTAAGTTTCTTTGTGACCTCCATCACTATGGCAGGCGGTTCTAAGTCTTTAAAGTGGAACTGTGCCCCAGTACCAAAGACTGCATTTGAGATGGAGAGATTGGACTGGGATGAGTTTCAAACGAAGCTGAAAAGCCGTAGAAATAAATCATCACCTGGTCCGAATGGAGTCCCATATCTGGTATATAAGAGATGTCCCAGAATGGCGAAAGCAGTATTCAAATTGCTGGATTCTCTATGGGAAAGCCAGAGAGTCCCGCTGCAATGGCGAGTAGGTGAAGCCATTCTGATAGCAAAAACTGAGGATTTAGATGACCCTAGTAAGTTCAGAAACATCACTAAAACAAACACTAGTGGGAAGTTGCAGATGGGATTACTAGCGGACAGAATGCTAGAGTATATGGTCAGTAATAGCTACATAGACACGTCTATCCAGAAAGGATTCCTGCGTAAGACACCAGGTTGCCTCGAGCATACTCAGGCTCTGATGGAAGAGTTGAAGGATGCCAAATCTAATAGACGACAGATCTTTGCAGTTTGGGTGGACCTAATGAACGCCTACGGCCGGGTTCCCCACAACTTGATAATATATGCTCTAAGACATTATAAGTTCCCAAACTGGCTCATAGAATATATGTTTAAGTACTATGATGAGCTGATTGTGAGAGTGGTGACAAAGGACTGGAAAACAAACTGGTTCTTTTATATGTTAGGTCTTTTTCAGGGCGACCCTCTATCGGTTGTACTGTTCTTAATAGTTTTCAACCTACTATTGGATCTCCTGAAAAATCAAAGCGACTTGGGTTACAAGCCGTCTTTTAGTTCTAGCAGCACGTCAAGCCGTGCTTTTGCTGACGACCTAACTCTGATGTCTCCCAGGCTGGAAAAGATGAAGAAGCTAATAGATGTGATGGAAAGATTTCTTACTTGGTCAAGGAAAATGAAAGCCAAGCCGAGTAAATGCGTATCCCTGGGGATGAAGGTTATAGATGGAAGGTATGTGTCCTATGACCCTGAAATTTTCATAGATGGAGCTCAAATCCAGTTTATTGGAAATACACCGATGAAGTTTCTTGGCCATTGGATATATGTGGATCTGGGCCTCAAAGATACCAAGAAGCTGATAGAAGACAAACTGATTACACTGTTTCAGGCAGTGGACGGATCAGGCCTTAATGGAGTGATGAAATGCTGGATTTACAACAACCTCCTAACCAGCAAGCTCTCCTGGGACCTGATGATCTACAATCTCCCGGTTAGTTTTGTCAAAGATCTTGAAGCAATATGTACGAAGTATCTGAAGAAATGGCTAGGTGTAACAAAGACAATTACTGTCAGTGTGCTTTACAGAAATAAGGATTGCTTTGGATTGAATCTTAAAAGACTATCGGACTTATACAAGTTCCTTCAGGTGTCCAAAGTTTACTCTCTAAAGAACAGCAAGGATCCTAAAGTTAAGGAGATCTACGAGCACAGGGCCAAGAAACAAGAAGGGAGCAGTCGGTGGGGTTACACTAATGAGCTGAGTGCTAGAGAAAGAGATCTCTACTTCAGAGAGTTAGTAGGGGTAACAGTGCAAGGCAGGATGGGCTTGGGATCCAAGAGGAGTGTAGCCAGTGAAAAGGAAAAACTGAAAGAACTGGTATCCCACATCTCAGAGCAGGATATCCTGTTGACACTGATAGACAAGGGAGTTCAAGGACAATTCTTAACATGGGAAAACACCATGCAGCTAGACCTAGGTTGGAACAACCTTATTTACAACTACAAGATGAGCCCTGCTCTTCTTAAGTTCCACCTCAATGCAACCCATGACGTTGCAAATACTCCAGCAAACATGAGCCTGTGGAACTATGCTGACACAGGACACTGTCCACTTTGCGGATGGAGACACTGCAACATCAAGCACATTTTGGTAGCTTGCAACTTCTCGCTGAACAACAAACGATACAATTGGAGGCATGACAACGTGCTGCGGGTCATTGCGAAATCCCTACTGGATCAAATCGAGAAGTTCAACAACAAAGATTTTAAACTTGAAGTTCAGGACTGGACAGGCTTCAAGTCATCTAGCAGCTGTTACCAAAAACCGAAGACGAAGATGAAAAGAGAGAGCCCTTTTGAGAAAGACCAAGATTGGCAGATTATCTGGGACGAAGATGACCTCCCAGCACAGTTCCCCCAGCACATCTACGGAACTGCAGAACGTCCCGATATTGTAGTCTGGTCTGATAAAGGAAAGGTGGTCATATTAGTAGAGTTGACAGTTGGTGACGAGAGTAACTTTAGTGACCAAGTAGAACGTAAACAAGCACGTTACAACAGAGAGCTTATTCCTGGGCTGCATGGCAGTGGGTGGAAAGCTCAGCTTTTTACGGTAGAGGTTGGGTGTAGAGGCTTCTGGCATCATACCTTACCAGCCCTACTAAACTACTTTGGTGTTACAAAGAGAGTAAAGAAAGCAGTGTTCCAAGAGGCAGCTTTGGTTGCTCTCAGATGTTCCTATGCAATCTGGTTAGCAAGAGAAAACAAGAAGTGGAGTCCCTGCTATAACATCGCACAAAGACCCACTGTTCTACCATCAACTGAGTGAGCTGAGTGTTGGGCCCTTAAAACATTGTTTAAAGCCACACCTGGAATCTCAAGTACCAGGATCAGTGATGGAAGCTAAGCAGATACATAGATGGAGTTGCTATCGAAAGATATAGACCTCAGGTATCCAACATCGTACCTTGATTATATTGTAGTATTTTCTCTGGGACCGGGACTCTATATAATATCAAATATGCATACTATAATAGTACAGTATTGTTTTGAAATAAGTTTAATCCGCTTTCGTTATGCTCAGTCAGTGTTACATTTCATTGGCTGTATCTTAGGTCGAGATAAATACTCCCTGTGAACCTGTGACAACGGACATCCTTATTAAAAATGAAATTAGATTCATTTTGATCGAAAATATAAAAATTATATTTCACGCCCTATAGTCCTGTTTTTTTCACGCTTTAGATATTTTCACGCCGTAGAGTCCTGTTTTGTAGGGCGCCGCCCTAGAGTCTTACGCCCTAGAGTCTTACGCCCTAGAGTCCGGACCCCTATATGCTCTGCTGAAATTTTAGTCTCCTTTAAAATAAGTCCTCCCATGAAATTTAGTTTACAACAATTTTAGGCAATTGTTTGACTTAATTTATGGTATAATAGATTTTTCGTTCCTGAGGAAAGGGAATTTCGGCGGATATAGTAACACCAGAAAATATTGGTTTATGTAAATTGAGTTTACGTTGTTTATCAATGATTCGAGGGCACTGCAACGAGAATTAGAACAATTAATCAAAAATTACTGCCTAAACATTTAATGAGCAAAACCTAACGAGCTTAACCTCTGTCACTCTTTTTCGGAGATTCAATATCATTTGACACAACTCTATGGATTAACTATATGATTTTTTAAAATAGGAAAACTAATCTGGTTGTATCCTAGCAGAACTGATTATTATATACGTTAAGAACAGTGTCAGCTGGAATATTCAAGTAAGGTCATTTGTGTGCTTTCTTTTACAACAGAAACAAGGAATTGAAATATCATTGTAAACTAAAACTGACAAGGGTAATCATAACATAACATTGTGCTCACAGTGTCACTCCATTCCTGAAAAAAGCCCATTTTCTTCCAATAAGACAACAAATAGAGTATAAGATTGCTCTAACCGTGTTCAAATGTGTCAACAACGTAGCTCCAAATTATATCACCAAATGCATCAACATTAAGAGTCAACCTGTACGTGTACTACGGACTGAACAAGACTATTTCCTCCTAAATGTTCCTACTGTTTCAAATTATAGTAAAACTGAGAGAAGCTTTAGTTACTGTGGACCCTTTGTTTGGAATCAGCTTCCTTAGCAATTGAGAACATTAACCGATATCGTCTTGTTTAAAAAGAGAATAAATACGCATCTCTTTGAAAAAGCATTCATATAAGTAGCATATAATAACTTTCTCATAAAACCCAAACTTCATAAAAATAAGTTCTAATGTACATATTCATGAGTCGCTTTAGATGGCTTGAACTGAATCTTTACTTAGCTGTCATTAGTTTAGTGCTCAGTGTCAACAAGAATTGTCATTATATTTTCCCTGTGATAATATTCAATTTCAAGTCAATATATCATAGTTATTGAATGCCTATATATATGCCTATATATATCCTGAAGGACTATGATTAGACTTTTTAAAGTCTGTTTGATTTGACCTGCCCATCCCCTAATTTTGGAAGTTTATATGCTCCTATCGTGAAAATGAGGTTAATTGAATGAAGGCTTTCATGTTATTCCGTATTATCACGTCATCTTACATCACATTATCAGGTCCAGTATATCCATAATTAAGACACCAATTGAATAATGAATGTGAATTTGTTTAGAGAATAAAGTTAAGGTCGAAAATTTTTATCCTTCCCCCCCCCCCCCCCCCCTCTGGCCTTATTTCATTAAATCCATAACACCTGATCTTGAAGTTACTCACAAGGCGAGGAACATCCTAGCCTGTCCAGCATCTGGGAGGTCTACACAGGAAACAGTAGCTCATTTAGCTCTAGGTCACCAGGCTGTGACAGTAGTCTTGATGTCCATTGTCCAACCAGTTCTGCGATTTACAGGTAACATCTAGGTAAATGAAATGAAATAATGAAATGAAATAAGAATAAGATTAAGTTGAATGTGCTTATGATGGGACCCCGGAGGGCAAGATCAGGTTATAATACTTGAATGACAACCCAAAAATAGGAAGAGATCAAGAGGCAGGTCTATAGGAAGAGCTTAAATGTAGTAGAAATGTTACCTACCCTCCGAAGATGTATAAGTAAAGTAATAAAACAGCTCGCGCAGACTAATCTTTTTGGATGGAGATCTCGCTAGAGTAACATGTTACTTGGTTCAATCCAATAACATATAAAATTAAAGAGTTTAAGAGTCCAAAATAGGAATTTAACACAAATATATATTAAATTCATTCACTGCAACAATCACTCCATAAAATCATGTAGGAGTATTGATAAGATTGAGTTCCAGATCACCTATATTGCTGTGGATGCTAAAATCCTGACACCTCTATAACCCCTAAAAGAAACTATACATGTCATGGGTAATGGATATCATTAGTAGGTAGTTATTGCAAACAGAGTGCTACCAAGTGCCACGTCTTATGATTTTCTAGAAATCAGAAACAAAAAGTAAAACTCTAATCAAAATGCTGAGCAGGATGAAGCAAAGACTTGAAGAAAAACTAAGAGACAACCAGAATGGCTTCAGACCTGGTTGCTCTACAACTTCGCACATTCTTGTTCTGTGAAGAATTATATAGGGTCTAAAGAGTGTGAAGGCCACTATGATGTTTATAGATTTTAATAAAGCCTTTGACAGTGTACATAAAGGTTTGCTTATTAAGATACTTAAAGCAAATGGTATACCAGAATACATAGTGCGATTGATCTACACAAACACAGTGGCTCAAGTAATCACAACTGCAGATGGTATTACAGGGGTCTTCGAAGTCCTGGTAGGATCAGGATTCGGGAGTACTGCAAAGAGACACCTCATACTTGTTCATCATCGTGATTGACTATATCATGAGAGTGGCTATAGATGATGACTCAGACTCTGGGTTCACTCTTAAGCCTGCACAGGGTGTAGATGGATTTGTGCTGAAAATATCGCATATATGTCAAATTCTCAGATGATGTTGCCCTTATCACTGATATAATTGAATGGGGCAAAACTACTCCTGGACAGGCTATAGGAAGCAGCAAAAAGTGTGGGGTTAGTCTTGAACAACTCTAAAACAAATCTCATGACTCTAAACACTACAGAGGAAAGTAGACTTTAAAGCTGTTCTGGAAACCAGCTGGAAAACGTACCTTGGGGGCATAGATATCAACAACTGAGAGAGACTTTAGAGAGACTTTTCAAGAGCAACTATGAAGATCCAAGAGCGTAGGATGCAACTAGCTTTGCCATATACACTGGCACCTTGAACTAGTTGCTAAGTGTGGGGTACTTAATATATAATAATATAATGAACCTAACCATGGTGTGCTGAGCAGGGGAAGAACAGTCATAACTTATGTTGATAGCCTAAGGGCTGATACGGGTTTGAGTAACACTGGAGAAATCACGGGACTTATGGAGGATAGAAATCTATCGAGACAGTGCATCAATACTCGGACGCTGAAGCCTAAATTAAGAGAAGTTTAAAAGTTCACAATCATAATTATTATTTAAAATTGCCTCTAATAGCTACTGATAATCAGCTTGATAGTCGTCTTCCAGCCAGTTTATCAGAAATAAATAAAATGCAGAACCTAACAAAAGGACTAAAATAACTCCAAGATATATTTCATGAAAATTACTAAATTTGCATTGGCGCTCGATTCCAAAGAATTTTTGTTAATGATGCGTTGACAAAATGCGCGGCGCGCAAAAATTATCATTTGAAATTGTTTGTTGTTCAACATATTTCATAAAATAATTTGTAAAATATAGTTCTAATAGTGTATAAAAAAGAATAATCTCAAAATATAACACTAAACAGAGCAAAAACGAAGATCGCGCAAAAATCATATCTATTTTGACAATTTCCGGGATTTTAAACAGGAACCATGTTTATACATATAGTATAATTAACAAAATACGCAAACCGTTAATTTATTGATCCATAAATTTTGAAATTCTTTATATTTTCGTATATAAAATTATTTTTGCAAACTATTGACCGGGGACTTTACAATTAAAAATTTATGGATCAAGATTTTAATGGTTTGCGTATTTTGTTTACATATATTTAAATGGTTCCTATTTAAAATCGCGGAAATTGTCAAAATAGATATAATTTTTGCGCGATCCTCGTTTTTGCTCTGTTTAGTGTTATATTTTGAGATTATTCTTTTTTATACACTATTAGAACTATATATTACAGATTATTTTATGAAATATGTTTGAACAACAAACAATTTCAAATGATAATTTTTGCGCGCCGCGCATTTTGTCAACGCATCATTAACAAAAATTCTTTGGAATCGAGCGCCAATGCAAATTTAGTAATTTTCATGAAATATATCTTGGAGTTATTTTAGTCCTTTTGTTAGGTTCTGCATTTTATTTATTTCTGATAAACTGGCTGGAAGACGACTATCAAGCTGATTATCAGTAGCTATTAGAGGCAATTTTAAATAATAATTATGATTGTGAACTTTTAAACTTCTCTTAATTTAGGCTTCAGCGTCCGAGTATTGATGCACTGTCTCGATAGATTTCTATCCTCCATAAGTCCCGTGATTTCTCCAGTGTTACTCAAACCCGTATCAGCCCTTAGGCTATCAACATAAGTTATGACTGTTCTTCCCCTGCTCAGCACACCATGGTTAGGTTCATTATATTATTATATATTAAGTACCCCACACTTAGCAACTAGTTCAAGGTGCCAGTGTATATGGCAAAGCTAGTTGCATCCTACGCTCTTGGATCTTCATAGTTGCTCTTGAAAAGTCTCTCTAAAGTCTCTCTCAGTTGTTGATATCTATGCCCCCAAGGTACGTTTTC